ATCATGCTTTTGTTAATTAAAGTGACAAATCTTTATTGCATTTAAATTTTTTGGACCAGTTTGAATGAATAAGCTTATTACATAATTTTTAACATAAAATGAAAAAAAAGAACCGTAAAATAATGTGACAAAACATTTATTCAGATAAAGTTGTTGAAGAAATTCAATTGGGATGAAAAAAGTAATCATTTTGCACTTTTGAAGTACACAGTAAATGGGAAGTTTTACAGAAAAACATTGGTAATTGCAATTTTTTTTCTTTATTAATTTTTTGATCCATCAAATATACTGAGCGGTAAAAGTACAAACATCTCCAACTTTTTCAATTACTATTATCGGGGAAAAACGTTCAAAATAAATTATGTTTTTAGAATTGTATAATTGAATATTATGTTTAATATAAAAATCCATAAGAGGAATGAAAATGCTTAATCAATAAACTATAAAAAATGGATTATAAATACGACTTTAAAAAGGCTCTATAGAGACACGAAATAAGGGAGAGTTGAGCTATGAATTTCTTTGCTTCTGTATTTGGTAAGTAGAAATAGTTAAAATATATGTACAAGTATATAATTTTTCGTATAGAAGAAATGAGAAACTTTAATCAATGTATATATGTATGACTGCCGTCATGAGAAAAAGGCCCTTATCTTTTGACGTCACAATGCTCAGAAAACGACGTCAAAGACGCGGTATTGTAAACACGGAAGTAATTTTTGTCGAGTGCGTTTTGTGAACAAGAAATAAAATTGGATTTCCAGATGTTACAAGAAAAATATTAAATGATATGAAATTTGATGCGGAAATATTTAAATAAATAATATAATTACATACTAGTACATGCATTTATTAATTATTCTGTTTTAGTATTTAACTTGATATCACATAATTAAGCTAAACGCGACATTGAACTCATTGTTAATTACGACTATTTATAGCGACGTGTTTATATGATGCATGACTAAAGATACTGTATATTTGTTGTCTGAGCAATTTGAAAATGTTTAAATTTGACTAATATTCAGTAGACTAAGTCTTATTATGAAGTGGTTTTCTACATACTCTTCTACATAAATTTTTTTTCAGAGGGAATAGGGGGAGAGAGATCAATGCACATATACACTTCTCTTTTTCTAAAAGAAATACCTTCATGTCAAATGTATTTACCCATTTTAATACATAGTAAATCATATCCATATGCGCAGTTAGACCAGCTCAGGGTGAGGCGTCGATATCCAAATGTGTGTTTGATGGGGAGGGGGGGGGGGGCGCAGAGATCATTGAAAAGGAAAACAAATCTGCGAATAAAAAAAAGCAATCGGTAAAAATTCATTCTAAAAAGAGAACCTTTCTTTTTTATTGGGGGTCGGGGAGTGGGTTCGATACTGGTATCATAGGAGATTCGGACCTCCTATTACAACACCGAATAAGGGGGACGGCCCCTATATAGATAATTCTTTGCTAAATTAACAGCAAGAGCATATGCAAAGGGGAAAACGGAAGAGGGAGGGGGATGCCACCGAAATTTTGCATAAAATATATTATGGTAAAAAAAAAAATTTGAAATGATCAAATAAATACATAAAAAAGTAGTCTCTGATAAAATTTATGTATCAATTTTCTTAAATTGTTACGATAAAAGCTGACTTGAAATTAAATTGCAATATGTCTAGGAAATAAATACAGCTATATAATGTGGACTTTTTCCACAAGCATTATGACCAATGTTGAAGAAAATAACAATAACATCGACGGTGATATTAGGATTAAAATGTTTATGAAACAGAAAAAAACATATTAAACAATAGGTTATAGGCTGTAAAGAAATTACAAACTTCTTATAAATGTTGATATGGCGACATCTTTTGAGAATAAATCATTGATAGAGGAATAAGTACTAGTAACAACTGGTTATGGGTGTCATATTCAAATGTTAAGAAAATATTCAAAAACATTAACCAAATCAGTCGTAAGACAACAAAGACTATCAAGAAATCTAAATTTTGATAAAGATGGAAGAAAAATTAACACTGGTGATGTTTCGAGCGGAAAAAAAGGTTCAGGCAAAACTTTTAAAACCATAAAATATGTTAGAAAAACATTTTTTTTTGGTTGACTGTTGAATTCGTGTACATTTGTATGTAATAAATTAGTCACGTCCCGTGTTAAAATCTTGGACGTTGAGTCTCTGATCCGATATCTCGATATCCCGGATAACTCGACATTTTTGAAAGTCCCGTTGCTATCGGGATACTGAAGGAAAATGATTAAACAAGTACACACATCTTTCTGATTTTAAAGAAAAAATGATTCTTTTAATATCAGTCGTGTGGTAACAGGCAAAAATAAGAGTCATTTTCTTTAATTTTGAGATTGTTGAAACAATAGCTAGGGAAAAATGGTTTGTCCATTTTATCTTTAGCTTACAAGACAAAAGCAGATACTAAGTCGCCTATGAAGGTGAGTTAGAGTGGTAGAGTTACAAACATTCAATGGGATATTGCTTAACCGAATCGCCTCATATACAAAAAAAGTATAAACATGTGTGTTGGACGTAATATTTAATTATTGTTTAAGAATATATTTTATGTACATTTCATCGCATCGAAGTATGAAAAAAATTAGATGTCAGATTAACTGATGCCACAGAGGAAGATGAATAGATGACCTTAATTATGTTAAAATGCATATATTCAAGCAGGTCCGTAGCTACAAATTCAAAAGTGGCGGGGGTGGGGGTGGGGGATTACTCCATAAATCTGACACGCAATTAAAAAAAAACCTATACTGACTAAAGAGTGGTGGTGGTGTTTTCGGGGGGGGGGGGGGGAGGCAACTTTCCAAAATAATCTGAGAAGGAGGAAATAGGGAAACGCTTATCTTTACATAAATCCTTGAATTTTTCAGCGCTCCACCTTACAACAACAGAAATTGGGGCGGGGGGGGGGAGGGGGGAACCAGCACCTATAAAAGGAAAATTTGCTAATACTATACTCAAAAAAAGTGGGGGCAGCCCCCTTCCCCCCCCCCCCCCCCCCCAGCTTTCTCGGGCCTCCTAAGTATTGCAAGAGATTCGGTTTCAATTTCAAATAGATTTCATAAAAAAATTGTAATGCGACTGTATTTCATTTCGTTCAGAGAAGTCCGTTTAGTATATATATATATTTAATAAAAGAGCCAAGATTCACGCCCTTTTAAGAAATGACGAACAATAATTGTTGTGTTCATGTGGTACAGTACTAGCGTCGAGGGCACAGGTGCCTCAAAATAATTTAAAAAAAAATAATAAAAAAAAAAGAAAGAAAAGGAACAGATCAAAGTACGGAAACATTTATAACCGCTTTTGATTAAGTGTTATTTGCTTAAAAAGTAAGAAGTTGGCAAAAATTTAAATTTTCGTGTACGGAATAAACGTTCATAAAGCAATCCTTTGACATCATTATGTGCCTCTTTGTTGTTTTGCATCATATCTAAGACAGGCAAAGAAATTGAATTGTATAAACAATGGAAACTTAATTATTTAAACTTTTTTAATAAAGTGTTCAAAAAAAGTTAAAGAATAATCCCCTTGGAGGTTGTGAACAGATTTTTTTTTATCAATTATGATTTTTTATGAAACTCTAAAAAAAAGTTTACACATTATGGCGTATCTGAATTTATTTCCCGTTAGAATTTTTTGGTGATACAGAAAATACATGAGGTGTTATTATCCCTTCGTAACAAAGTTATAGGGGATAAAGTATAGTGCGTGTATGTGGGTGAGTGAATGCGTGCTTATAACCCAAACTATTTTTTTAAGATCGGGATCGATATGCTCTTTTGCGAGGAGATGCGTGAGGTGCCTTCTGGTATATCAATATAGATCTTTTTATATGTTAATATTACAAGTGCTTTATATCTTTAATAAATTTAAATAGAGTATTAATTATAAAAAGAATACCTTGTGTGGAATTCAACAAGTATTAATTTTTCGACTCAATAAAAAAACCGTTCCTAGATCCTGTCTAGACCCCACTCCTCCCTCTACGAAATTAGTAGATCTCCTCTAATATAGTATGAAAAAAGTATGCGACTCCCCTTATGAATAATTACATACTAGTTGCTTGGAAGAAAAAAAAAATCAAGTTTATATGTGTTAAAACGATTAAGGTTATTTTAAAAAATGTAGTTTTTAAAGAATGCTTGGAAACTGAATTTGACGCACGCGACGTCATTACGTTTTCAGTGAGTAAGTCAACGTTGTTTTGAAGCGGCCTTACTAAAATGCTCATAAAATACTGAAAAAGTGAGATATTTTTAAAACGTTTGTATATTTGCATTCAGAAAGAGTCAGGCTATCAAAATTTACCAAAAAGTCAATTTGTGAAATTTTGACCTTAAGGGCCCTTTTCTCATGACGGCAGTCATATATATATATATATATATATATATATATATATATATATATATATATATATATATATATATATATATATATATATATTGTCTAGAAGAAATGAGAAACTTTAATCAAAGAATAGTCACCTAGGTGGTGCAGTAGTTAGAGCGTTTGCTCTACAGTCGCAAAGTAAGAACTTTCATATCCCACTTCTGGACGTGTAGACTGGTCCTTTGGATTAGGCCATATTAACCTAGGTAACTAGTCCCTGGCGCGGAAAGAATCCCTCGATCACTGCTGAAAGGCCCAAACTGTCTGGTAGAAGGTTAATTGTGCTGCCCTCCACCGACAAGTGGTGGCATTTCAATTGGAGGGACTCCCTTCTTGAAGGGACCTTTAAAAAATCCAAACTATTATTAAGGAATTATTGTAACAGTTTTACTTGTAGCTGTTCTGGCATTCTTTGATGCCGTGTCGTCAAACCCATGCGACCCTAACCCGTGCGAGAATTTTGGCGTTTGCAGTGTTGAGGGTTCTAGTCCAATTTGTCAGTGTGTTGGGAGATGGTACGGGGCAACCTGCAGTCAACAAGACATTTGTGGTTCGTCAACCTGTAAAAATGGCGGTTCTTGTAGTTTTTTGGGCAGTCCATACGGGGACTGCAAATGTCCACTTTCGTGGACAGGATCATACTGCGAGGGTTTGTTATTTATAATTATGCTTAACATAAAAAAAGAAATTAAAAGGAATCATTATAATTCTTACGCCTACATGTAATAAAGTTAAATGTATGTACATGTAGAAGCCTACTAGTAATTGACAATGCTGACTTTAATCAAGAAGTCCATGAAGAAAAAAAATTCAATATACATCATATTTCACAATGGTTAATATAATCAAGTCATTTTTTGGTGATATATATTAAATCAAGTGTTTAAATTGATCTGTAGAAAGCAGAAACCTTCTACGACATGACTTTGAGAGTTTTAATCAATTTTCTGGTGAAGGCCTTAATGTCATAAACGTAAGTTTCGAAACAGTTTATGAATAATTTAACAAACAAATAAAAAAAAAAAAACAGCAACAACTAAAAATGTCATTCATCGTTTTGAAAGCAGGAATGTACAAAGTGGATAATATCAATTTAATTAAATTTGAAGTAATTTTGACAAATAACGTTTCTATTTGTCCAAATTCGAATCAAGAACATCAGAATTTAAGTTAAACTTTGATTTGTTAAATGTGTGTTACGTGACTTAAAAAAAAACGATAATATTTTCAAATTGTTTTTTTTTTTACCTACCACAGTCGTCAGTTGATATTTTCCCCGCCACTGGATTCGAAGGAACTACACGTTATGGAAGCATAAAACCAGGGTCTACTTTCTTCTTAAGCAGTGATAATGTTGGAAACGATGGCACGTATCAATTCATTAATTTATTTTTTCCCTATATTTATAAGATACATGTCTCATATCAATAATTATCAAAATTAATCTATAAATTTTTATATATTTATATTTCAAGGAAGTAAATACTGCGTAGAGTTTGGATATTTCATGCATGGGGAGAATATTAAGTTAAACGTAATACAGTTCTCCCTTATAAGTGGAACTCCCACAACACTCTGGCAACAGACAAGTGACAGTGCATCTGGAAGTCTCGGGCGTTGGCAGAAAGCCGAGTTTACCTTTCAAGGACAAACCGGAACATCCTTTGTAAGTTTATTTTAAATGTTTGATATTGCATGCACATAGCTTCCAAATGAATACAAACGCTTGATAATGAACATACAAGATGTTAAAAAAGAGAGAAAAATGTACATGACTGTATTTTCAAGAAGGCTGGAAGAGATTTTTTCCTAAATTTTATTCACTAAGTTGTGGGCTGTACATGAATTAAAGATTTTATTTTTGGTTTGTCGAATTTCCACATCATTTTTTACAGCACGTAGAAGTTAGAAGATAGTTGTCTGAAAAGTACATGTGAAAAGTTGTCAGAAAAGTATATGAACGAAATGAACCTTAAAAAATTTGTCTGGGCCTCCTTGCCATTTCTATAACTACCATCATTGCCAAATTCACTAGGATATGTATTTTTAATAAAAGAAATATTGTACCGTCCCAGAACTGTGTACATGTACATATGAATCAAGAATTTTTATTTGGAAATTGATTTAACTAAATTACATAAAATAAACTGAAAAGCAACCATTTTGATAAAAGGATATTTTTGTCAACTCTTAACCATTAGATAAGGAGCACGACTTTTTTAGATACATTATTTGTCTTTACATTTCAGTTAATACGTGGGTCAACAGAAAACAGTAGTAATGGAATTCTTGCTGTGGACCAGATTAAAACTTACAAAGGCGATTGTATCTAGCTTCAGCATTTCCAAATAGTATACTTTTAATTGACAAACCAATAAAATGCATTAAAAGTATGCCACTTAAGTATAATTTTCATTTTTAATTTTTTTTACTTTTAAAAAAAGTAACAGGTCGCCCGCGTGGCGCAGTGGTTAGAGCGTCTGCTCTAGAGTCGCGGAGTAAGGAGTTAATCCTTACGTCGCGGGTTCGAATCCCACTGTGGGACGTGGAGACCGGTCCTTCGCATGAAACCGTTTAAACCGAGGTCCTGTATCGCACTAGATGATGGAACGAAAAAGATCCGTCACTGCTCAATGGCCGTAAGTGCCGAGTATAGGACAAAATTTGCAGCTCTGCACCGGCAAGTGGTGGCGTCTCTATATAAGTGAAAAATTCTCGAGAGGGGCGTTAAACAACATACAAAAAAGTAACAGGAATATAGGCCTAGAACTCATTCATATTCAAAGGAGATCATGACTTTAATGTATTTTCCAAACTCTGTATAAACGATCATAAAATGTACCTCAATAATACAACTTTATTTTGAATAAAAATGCCATTTATGTGTACGTATTTTCATGGAATTAGGTGCAATGAGAACTTAATGTGCCAGCGTTTGTTGTTACTCATTATGAGTTATTCATTAGTGAGATATAAAATATCACCGCTTCCATATAGCCGTCATTTGCTTTAGCCTAAATTTTCATTGACTGTATGTTGTTTCTGTACATTTAGAGTATAAATAAGACTTTGTTTGAAAAAGATTACTCTCTTTAGAAATGAATTTTTTTTTTAAATATAATTGAAAAAAATCCGCGAAGAATTAAAAAAATCATACTTGAAATTAAAATTACAAGATTGAACTGTTTTAATTTACTGTGTCCATACTCTTACGTGCAGCGTGTACATTTTCTTAAATGGTAGACGGTAAACATCATGTTCGTCGTAAATATAATTTTGTCTTAATATAATTCTTGCAATGCAATGACAAAAAGCCTATACTAGGCCAAAATAAAAAATACCTTTGTTTCCCCTAACGCGACCGACCCATTTAAATCGTGCCGACTGAAAAGTTTTTATAAAAGGATTATTTGAAAAAAAAAATTAAATTGTTTATCAACTTTATCAAATACATTTTCATCGAAATCTGTTTTTTATCAAAACGGCGGCTTTTGTTTTACTCTCATTTGGCGCCCACATGTGGCCACTGAGAGTTAGTTCGTGTTATAAAACAATGGTGACGTATCAATCTTATTATATATCTTTAACTTTAAGTTATTAGAATCCTACACTCTTGAGACATGTCGTGAATTAAATGTACCATGACTAAGGAGTGTTTAGATGGTATTTACAAATGTGTCCTCTAAAATAAACGTACGTAGTAAGCATGGCAAAGCCTGCCTCATGAGCAGATGAGGGATCCACCTTGTAAATACATATCTATAAATTTCACTGCATTTGATTCCTTTCGATCTAATAAACAGCTCTTGTATGATCCTATTTTTACTATATAGGACCACAGGAGTTGTAAATATGTCTTTGTATGATTATTTCATCTTGATAAATATAATTCAGATGGCGCTTCTTTATTCCTTTTATCTATGAGGTATTAACTCCGTGACTATAACATTAGCTTATACGAAACTTTAATCATTTTAGATATGGTTTGGTTGTATTTGATGGTTATATATTGTTTATACATGTACACTCTTTCCAAATAGTGTTGAAATCTTTAAATCTTTTTGCTTATGATATGGCTTTCTGAGACGTCCAGTTTATTTTTCTTCAGTTATGCCCTTGAAAACAGGTTTTTTCTTTGCCTGAAAATACCTTTAAAAATTGTTGGGCCAGTGGAGGGCTCCTAGTTTAGACTTTTACTCGGCACTAATGGCCACTGATCATTAAGCATCAGTAAGGGATCTTTTCGTGTCATTTACATGTATACTGCGACACTGGACCTGCGGTTTTTACGGTCTCAGTCAACTGAACAGTCTCCACGTCCCACGTCGGGACCTGTGACTTAGAATAAGCTCCTGAATTACGTCGTGACTCCAAAACAAAACTAAAATAACTGCGCCACGCGAGGCCTTTGAAATTTTGTCTGTGTAAGTAATCGAAGATGATAGTAGGTTTGAAAAATGTACTCGGATGTTGAGTATCTGCGAATCTTGTGTTTTTGTAAATATTCGATTTCAATAAATTTACGCTGGCCTGAGATATTTCACAAGTTCAAATGAAGAATATTTGTGAAATAATTTACCATACATGTCGCTTCATTTGCTTGATATTCAGTTTAAAAATCGGTTTCTTTTGTTCTTTCTTATTCATAAAGATATTATTCAATTTTTCAGAATGTATTTCCAAAACTGCTGTCAGAAAAAAAAAATGATTTACCTACCTACCGACCCAACTTGAGACTTTTGGGTCGGGTTAGGGGAAACAAAGATACTTTTAATGATGGCCCTAGTATATGCTTTTAAAACAATGATCAAAGAATTTTCAAAATGTTTAAAGTTTAGAGGCAATTGCAGAAAGGGGAAGCAAATAAAGAAAAAAAAAACGAATAATAGATAGAACATTAATCTTTTTTACCTTAATTACTTCGATCTTTCCTATTATAGATCGTTTTCGATAGACACGATTTTAGCAAGAGTTATATCCCGATGGCCGCCATATTTAAGGTCCCTTCATTATTCAACCAATATAAACTTGTCATAATGAGCATTTGGGTGTAGATAGCACTGATTTTCAGGCGAAAATACATTTGTTTACTCGCATATTTCTGTCATTTATGTTTAAAATCGGTGCTCAAAGAGAAAAAATTCAACAGATTGACATCCAAGATGGCTGTCAAGGACAATAACTCGAAGAAAAAATACGTCAAACCAATACTATCTATTGTTGCATAAACTACGTATGGTTTTCAAGCAAAAAAAAGGCATTTACATATAAATATCTTTGGCAACATAGCTTTTTGTGAAATTGTACTGTGTGTACATGTAGAGGATTATTCTCCCCTCATAACATATGTATTGACGTACTAGTGTCGTGTACCAAATAATGGAATTTTTTCAATAAAAAGTAATTGTCTGTAATATACAAATTTAAATTGAATAAATTCTAAATTTGGTAGAAGTCTATGGTACAGTCCTTGTAACTCGAAAGTTCTGACATACATAAAAGCTAAAACAAATGTAAAATGTGCTGAGCACTGTGTCCCTAGTCTACACGGGATGCTCATCACTCCTCCAGGCACCTTACCCCACCTCTGGTGTTTTCAGGGATTCGTGTTTGTCCTGCTCAGGATCCGTTATTATGACAATATTTATGAGATTGATTTCTGTTCGTTATCTGCATCATTTTTCACGTATGTTTACGTAACGTTTTAAAAATAAAATACGTAACAAAAATAATTTCTTTTCATTCGTATCATCAAAAGAAAAATATACTAAGAAGGACCTCTAATAACCCTCTTAATACAACAAAAAAAGTATTGAAATTCAAAACGTTAAATATTTTTTTTAATTAACTTTTGATAGCGTCAGAAGTGCCGACGAGGGAAACAAAAAATACAATTATTTCTTAAAATACTATATCATGTGGATTTGCATTTCATGTCATGTAAATCCACCTGATAGTATTTTAAGAAAGTTCTATGTTAAAATATAAGGAGAAGCTGTTAAATCACAAATAGATATTACGTGAAGATAATAATAATAATAATAATAAACAGTAGAATCACTTCTGTGCAGACAGAAGACCTGAATTTCTTGTCTTATTATTGACCATTTTAACACTTGCAGCTTGCCCATGCAGGTATGGAACAAGAATCGGAAACATTCTGGCACAGATACGACACAGTAACTGTATATCATGTACTTTATATGCTTTATGTAACCGAGCAGAAGAACAACACCAGGTTCATGTTTATATATCTTTATTTAACAGCAAACGAACGGCAATGCCATTAGTGTCTAGAAAAAAAATATACCTAAAATTCTATCCATTAGACAAAATATAATGTCAAATAGATAGAAAATGAAAAATAACATTATAAGTTATGAAAAAGAAAAGTATTACAAAAGCAAATACCTATATGAACAGCACAACCACGAGGTGTTGTGACCTTGAAACTGGCTGGCGGTACAAGTAATTCTAATCGAACTAGTTTATCTATACCCAGATCTACTGCGCCAGTGGATTGAGTTGATTTAAAGAATACACCAGTCAGGAATAAGATTACAAGAGTGTTTGACAAAAGCCTTTACAAAATTTTAGAATCTCACTGACTTGATTCAAATCATCAAATAAAAAATAAGTTTACAAAAGTGAGTTCGGTACTCGCTTAAATAGAATATATGGAATTACTTGGTCACACACTCCCCGGCCAAAAAATTGGGCTGTCATCAGCACAAGAAATGACAAAGGTAATTAATCTACATCTTCATCACAAAATATGATTGATTGATTGAATTTTACACTCATATGGAGACGCCACCATTTGCCGGTGGAGAGCTGCAAATTTTGTCTAACACTTGGCACTTACGACCATTGAGCAGTGAGGGATCTTTTTCGTGCCAGCACCTACTGCGACACGGGACCTCGGTTTATACAATCTCATCCGAAGGACCGGTCTCCACGTCCCACAGTGGGATTCGAACCCGCGACGTAAGGATCAACTCCTTACTGCGCGACTCTAGAGCAGACGCTCTAACCACTGCGCCACGCGGGCGACTATCACAAAATATGAAATGCAAATCAACGCAGCCTTTACGTGCAAAAATATATACAAAAATCAATTTCCCAGACACATGCTAAATACAAAGAAGCTCATTTAATCAATATCATAAATAATGCTGGGAAAAATTAGATGTGAAAAAAAAACCCATTCAAAATCATAACATAATATACATATCACTCTCAAAAGTTCACTTTCATAGAACAATATATCCCAGAAATATATATATATATATATATATATATATATATATATATATATATATATATATATATATATATATATATATATATATATATATATATATATATATATATAT